AAAAAAAATTAAAACTAACCTTTCTCTTAAGTTGTTGAAAAAAAGAAACGTAATTCATATCAATGTGCACAACGCAACAGTAAATAATTAATTGACAGAATTTAAGATTACCAAAATAAACACTGTTACCACCATTTGATCTTCAGTCCTCTACTGTTACAATAAAGTTTGTTTACTATCTTCTTATAAGTCTTATTTTCTCAAAAATCTATCACTGTTGTAAGACAAAGAAATTAATACATAGATATTGAATTTTACAGAATGTTGTCATATTTTATCCAAGCTAGTGGATAATTATTGAACAAACATTTGAATTTTACTAGAGTATATGTTCAAATGGTTTGCAATGCATGGCTTCCTATGTAAAACCATGCAAGCTTGTATTATGAAATTACGAATTCTAATATTATATGATAGTCTGGTTTTCAGTCACAAATGATTTTATCACCCACATATGAAAATGGTTGAGATGAGATAGTTCATTCATATTAACTTTTTTCCAAAAGAAACTGACAAATTTTAGAGAATCACCGTTGCCCTTAACAATTTATTGATAGCTTATATAACCATAAGAAGCAATAATGTATTCAACATAACCACCACACTTTGTGTATTTTATTGGCAAAGATACCAATATATTTTGATGTGAAAACACCAAAATTATGATTTATTGAAAATTATGATATATTGACAAAGATACCAATAAATCATAAACACATTTATTTTCATTTATTTTGATGTGAAAACACCAACTATGAGGCAAATCATAAAATGCCATGTCTTCATAAAATGTTGTATTGTTGCATTTATTTCATCCTAGCTACTTAAATAACACATGTCCCATTTTATCAATTCCACGTGTGTGTGAATAAATAAATAAATAAATAATATATATATATATATATATATATATAGGATTTTTATTTATTTCTATTATTAGTAATAGCTTGGTCATTCCATTGTTTTAGGTGGCCATTGCCCAGTGAGATAGTACCTGAAGCAGAAGGAGGCTGCCCGAAAGTAGTCCGGGCAACTTTCGGGCAGCAGCAACAATACCCGGCTGCTCGGTGGGCCCCGTATATTTTATTTTATTTTATTTCCTGTTTTCCTATCTACCTATATCTCTCTCTCTCTCTATTCTGAAGCCACATACTTTGGACGTGTTGGCAGAATGTGGGTGGGCGCGGGTCTCGGCATTTCGGGTCACGGGTTGCCCTTCCTCCTCCCACCCGGCCCTGCCCGCTCTCTCCCAGCCACCCACCCGGTGGGTGGGTTTCTATCACCTCCCACTCCCTTTCGTGCCAGCTCAGCCTCGCTGCTTGCTGAGTTGGACCCTCACCACAAGGAGGCCCTCTTCCTTGAATATATATATATATATATATTGTAAGATATATATATCTTACAAACAGTAAAAATAAAATATAAAAATGAAATAGCGACATCATTCTAATAGATGCCAAAATTACTTGTTAAATAACATGAAGGTTCCTTCAGAAAAATACATGGATTCATTCTGTCACCAATATGATACCCTACACCCCAAACCCAAATCCAATCCAATCCTACACCATAAAATATCTGATCTCTCTCCATTGTTGCAGCAGCAGCAGCAGCAGCAGCAATCCCACTAAGCTACTTGCACGAACCACACCAACTCATCTGAAGCGGTGTTTAGTAGAAGTGAACATTACAAATAAGAAAAAATAAAAAATAAAAAACACAAAAAGGCAGAGCTAAAAATGGCCACGTAGTTGCAACAGTGATCTTTCTCATAACAGTGTTTGTTTATCTCGTGATTTGTGGAGTGCAGGAGAGAGGGGAAGGTGAAGGAGAAGATAGAAGGGAGAGCGAGAGAGAGAGAGAGAGATCACTGTGTCGATAGTTCGTCGTTATGTGGGTTCGGCACCACTAGCGCGAATACGTGACAATCACATGTTTGCCATGCATATAATATAAAAACGAATAAGCGAATAGAATACGCCGGTGCAATCTTTGCATGACAGTGTCGGTTGCCGACCATGGGCGAGATGCCATCACTGTCACGTCCGAGGGCTCAATGGAGAGATTGCTTGGAGCCTGGATGAGCGCGAATTCAGAGAAACCATTAACATCGTGTACTGGAATCTCCCTATCGAGCCAATCAGTCTGCTGGCAGTGGGTACACTGGGGCACCCACCCCGATCGAGAATGAGACAATTATAAAATAAAACAATAAATTACGAAAAAAGTAAAAAACAGAATTGGGTGAAGAAATCTTCTCCGTGCGTGAGAAAATCTGTCGAGCGCTTTGAATACACCGATTGTGTGTTGGAGATTGTGAGCATTTCGGATTTGATGAGAGACGTCAAAGAGTCATACTCCCACCGAGCTTCTGCGGCCGTTCTTTTTGCGCGCTGTCGCTACTATGATGGGCTTCTCACTGTTGCCATGGAGGGTCAGCTTGATAGTTAAAAAATTTAGCCAAGGCTCGCATTCTAAATAAATGCCAACAGTATCTCTCATTCTTTTTGGAGGTCGTGGTCACTGTAAGTCATTGAAAGTTGCGCTCCTTTGGACAACGTCCCGGTTTTATTGCTACATTTCTGCGGCGCTGCCTGAGTGGTGAGATGCTGGCCGAGACTGGTGTGCCTCAGAATCACCACCAACATCTCCATGGTGTGAATAATTCATTAAGAAAAATAACCTGATTCTCCCAGCTTTGTTGCCCTCTCTCGGTGCTTCCAGGCACTCAAGTGACATCATTTAGTGGGAGGTTGTGGGATTGACAATTTCTTATCTCTAGGCTGAATGTATTCGGAGGAGTTAGTGTTGGCAATGTCTGTAATGTCTATAGAATTCCAAGTAGTTTGATTCTATAGACATTACAGACACAGGTTGTGAGCCCTGAGGACAAAATTCTGACGCAAGTTGAATTGCTGAGTGTGGGTGATCATATTTTCACCAACGTTGATCTTTGCATTTGAAATTGTGCTGGCGCAGTTATCCCGAATGTGGCACAAATCTTTTCGCGTTTCCAAACCAGGAGAACGATTCTGTAGCCAATGACCTTTTCTGCTATTGCATCTCCACACAAGCTCGCAGAACAGAAAGCACTCTTAATTATCTCTACGCACAGCACATAAACTTTGGGGGATAATCTCAAACTTTACCACAAAAGGAGAAGTGGATCAATCTTTCATGGCCATTTTCGCATCACCTAACAATTTTGTTGAGGAACTGTATCAGATGTGAGTCAAAGGATGCTACAACAGAATAGAAACCTGCCTCTCTAAGAAAATCGCCACTAATGTCCTCCATCGTGCACTTGTCAGAGATGTGCCGATCGTTTCCTTTCCATTCCAACGCACAAACCCCCATGAGTACATACGACACTGCCATAAATGAAGTCACCTGTGCTCTGCGTCGTACCCTACAGTCGAGTTGTCCCACCTCTATCCACATTCGACCCCACGAAAAAAAAATTCGCAGTCAGCACATCAACCCTCTTCACCCGGATTGAGGTTTGCGATGTCCACATGCATAGCTCTTGTGCACAAACGCCTTGACTGTCCATCATAAACTGGTAGATTTTATGTTGCTAATCTAGAACATTACGTCGTGTTCAAGTCGAAATAATAATTACTGACCCACCTCCCTTTACACACAAGTATATACACACACACCCACACACACGTATCTATATATATATATATATATACATAACCACACATACATATCCATCTATTAAATAAAATCAACGTGTATGAAAAAGAGGTGACTGTTGAAACGATAGGGTTTCCTGAATTATCTCATTTTCTTCATGGTAAAGTTCAGAATTCGCATCAGGAGCAAGGACAAAAGAATCGATTGCTTTGTGTCCTCAGTAGATGAAAACACCTACGTTCTCTACTTCGATCCAGGTCCGAAATTGATTGCTTGAGGTCATCTATGTTCGAGCACAATAACACATGATTTCAAGATTTCTGACCGGTGGAGAAGAAGGAATGCAACTGCTGATTTGAAACTGACCAATTAAAGGTTCCTCAACTGTCCTTTGTACATAAAATGAAGTGCTATCAAAAAAAAGGGTTTGAAGATCAAGAGTTTCGATACTTTCTGCAGTCAGATAGTAGAAGATCTCAAGCAGGATGTTTTCCACTCGTTGCTCACAATCTCCGAAGCATTTCACCACTCTGGCGACGTTGTCATGTTCCATATAAACATGTAGGGAATTACTGATGTGTTCAACTACCAAACCGTTGAATCTCGCTCAAATTAGCAGAGAACCGACAAACTCTCTGAGAAATGTTTCTGGTTGAACTGATTAGTTTGTCAGAATGATTCTCCGCATTCCTCACTAATTTGGTTGGAAATATTGAACGCAACTTGCTGGTACACGATAGCATACGCCAGCTCCTGCACCATCCAGTGCATTGCTCGAAATAGTAATCCAGAGAAGTTCGTGTGCATTCAGGTTAAAGACGTTGAGATCCAGGACAGAGTGGTCACGGCGAGCGCAGGTGATAGTTATCATTGTGGTGTGTAAACGATCACTTACAGCGAGTGCGAAAATTTTCTCCCGCAATACTGTCAGATACCAGTGCGTTGCTTGTGTACCTTCCTTTGGAAATGATGGAAAACATTGCTAATAACAACAATCGTTCGTCAATTGTGGACGAATCAGTCGTAGAATTTACGCTGCGACTGTGAAAAAGGTGGAAATGTAATGTACGTATCATAGTGGGCTTGGCCAGAACATGCTTAGATTTATGTCGTAGGTCGATAGTCTCAATCTAGAAATTGCGTAAGGGTTCACCTCGACAGAACAAAAAAGATGGAATATTTGCTGAAAAGGTCTTTCCTGAAGTAACACTCAGCATTTTGAAAATTACAATTTGCTGCATAGTAACTGAGAGAGAATGCAGTAACATGTGATCCTATCGAGATCTAAATTCACATGATTCCTTCTGCAAAGACCATGATATTCCCAACATTGCACATTCAAAATAGACTCACAGCAATGTCCTGACACAAACGGTACTTTTTTTCCAGCGAACATCGGCATTGTAAAATATTTCAATGAAGTAGGCAAGCCATAGCTCTATATTCCAAGACTCTAATGGCTTAGTCCTACCTCTAAACCCAGTATCCAAGCAAGAGCCTCAAGAAGAAGCGATCCAGTGTATCTCGTCTCCATTCTAACTTGCAGAGAGCAAGTATTCGAAAAATCAATGAGTAGTACCTAGTTGTGACTCGTGATTCCAAGAATTCTCCCGCTTGATAGCAAGTTGGGAATAGATTTACTAAGTGTGGCCCTCACACTTGGAATCTCGGTATCGTTGATTGTGATACAACAATGATCCAACACTTCTGGGACTGAAAACTAGCACCACTTGGGTAGGAGGACTTCACAACTTCAAAAAATCGTGTAAGTTTTGCAAGGGACTTACTCCCGTCACAGCGCCTTGAGCAAACAGACCAGCCATGGCCATCATGGCAAGTCGCCCGTTCTTGATTTCCTTAACCTTCAGCTCAGCAAAACTTTCTGGGTCACTTGAGAACCCAAGAGGATCGAATGCCTTCCCGCCGGGGTAAAAAGCATCATTGCCCTCAGGCGACAGTTTGATCCTCGCATATTCAGCTACACCCATGAGCAAAGCTTGCACCACGATCACGGCAACCAAGCTATGCGCATTGATGAACCCAGGGACGCCGAGATAGTCAATTCCAGCCTCGGAGAAGATCTGAGCTCCGGTCTTGAACCACACTGGTTCAAAGCCCGGGGTGGGGTTTGAGTTGATCAGCTCCGGCACAAGGCAACCGGTGATGCCAAGCATCGCCCAGCGACCATTCATGAGCTCCTGAGATCGAAGCTTCGCGTAGTTTTCTGGGAGCCTCACAAGCTTGAAGATGTCGCAACCGTAATCTCCCGGGTACTCACCCTTGAGATATTCGGGGACGTCCTTCGGTGATGTGAAGGGACCTTTCCACAATGGCCGGTTGGGTCCGTAGTATGCAGTTCGAGTGTCCTGGCTGGGTGCCACCGACTTACCGTATACCTTGTACCATTCAGCGGCTCCTGACAATGTAGTCGAAGATTTCTTGGCGGTGGATCCAGCAACTAGGTCTTCGGGCTCAGGGTCAGCACTTGAAGCCTGCAAAATTCGAGGAATTTGACTCACATCTCAGATTATGGGTTAAGTTAATAAATCGTCATGCAGAACATTCAATTGCAATTCCAACATCACGTCATGTAAATCGACCATTCAGAATCCTCTGAAACACCCGTAAACAAAGGTCGATGGTGAAACAATACTACTAGATTTCACAGAGAGGTTCATTGAAGATACAAGGACAGGAACGATTAAGTCCAAGAGAGGCCGTCGCCGTCGTTTAGGAGCGTCATGGCAATCTATGACGCCTAGAAAGTAGACTGAAGACAATTCCATCCAGGACACCCTATCTAGCAGTAAAACAGTTCGCTGCATCTACATAGAAGAAAACCCGACCTGAGTGCAGGCATGACCAAAGCCTTCCTGAGCGGGCACTACACAGACTTCTAGTACACTCATTGTTCAACAATTTGCACCCCCGCGTTCGCAGAGCGACTCCGAATTACATAACCAAAACAAGAAAGCAAGCAACACCCGAGCTGAACCCACCTGCTGGATGAGGTTGAACACATCGTCCAAACCCACATTGGACATATCCGCAATCTCCTCATCCACAGCTCGGCAAATCCATGAGCAAGAAGAAGGCTTCTTCTGGAGGGGCTTGCAGCTGGCGACAGCTCCCAATGCTGTGGGAGCAGCAGCACCCTGGAGAGCCATGGACGCAATTGCTGCCATTGCGGAATGCAATATGCGAGGATGACACCCACAAATCTCACCGAGCTCGGCAGATGACGATTCACGGATTGGGTTCCAGCTCCGACTACCGACTGCGAATTAGGGTTTTATAGTGGAGCCCAAGGCCGGGGAGTGTGAAAGGGCTGTGCGCCACACAAATCTGACTGGTGAGTGGTTAACGGTGCCGGTTGCTGCAGGATAGTGTGGCATATCTAAGGCCGTGCCCTGATTGGCCACCCTGCCTCTCCGCTTTGTAGATTGCTGTGCCTGCAATCTGCTCTCCTTTCAAACCCAATTTTTGTTTTTTCGCCAACATGGACAAAGTCACATTTTTGCGCCGTTTCGTTGGTGTTGTGACTTTGTGTTCCCATGGCTGTTTGATATTTGCGTTCGGCATTTCACTTTTGTCCTTGAGGCTTGTGTGGTTCTACTGGGTTTAAGTTTTTGTTTCCTTTCTTGTTTGAGAGAGTAGCAAAAACTTCTGTACCAGTTTTCATGTTCGTGATTAGCAAAAATATTTTCTGAAAGTTGTGGACCTGTTTTTTTTAAGGTTTTTGTTTGTTGATTCTTGTGAGTGTTTAGTTGATTTAAATGAGAATGAAATGTTGGTTAACAAGTGGGCTTGTTTGTGTCCTTTGTTTGTTTCTTCATTGGTCGTCTCCCATGTAGAATTCCTCCTTCTTGGTTTGTATACAGATGACACTCAATGATTTCTATTGAAGCTTCTCTACTGGGTTTATGTAGTGTTGGAAACTGTGAGGGATACTATCAAATTTTCATATGAATCAGGATTGTGAGTAAAAAATACACAAATTCACACATCAAAATAAAACAAAATAAGATTCTACAATGCTTCATTCCACTGTTTGAAGAACAAGAATTTGCAAGACTAATGTGTTTAAAAAGAAATGTTGATGTGAATTAGAAGAATTTCCAACTTTTTCCCATTAATAATATTTTCTAAGTGGTCATGTACAAATACTTTTTAAGTCTTATGCTAAAATGTGACATTATATATATATATATATATATATATATGTCAAGAGAGAGAAAGAGTATTAGTTTTCTTTATATTCTATTGAAATAATTGTCTTGATTTAATAAATAGTGTTGATATCACTCACAATTTTTTAATAAATTAATATATTTTGATAAGTATATTAATAACTATAACTTTAGTTATTAAGATTAATTATTGAAATGATCTAAAATAGAATAATTTTATTGTAGAAAATTCATAAAATTTTATACTTTAATATTTTATTCCTACAAATATATACTATAAAAAATCTAAAAATAGAAAATTAAAAAATTTATCATATGATTCTTTAAAAAAAATGACACAATATTTAATTTTTTATAAAACAATTACCATTTATACAAACATAAAATCTATGCATGTGTATAAATATTTTTATTGTATAAAAATAAACGTGTTTTATTTGCATTCTTATATAATCTTAATTTTTTTAATTTTAATATATCTTTGAAAGGACTTAAAGTATTCATGACATGGTGTAGTTAACATTGGAGTGTTACTGTTAATAATTTTCCATATTTATCTTATATGTCAACACTTATATGAAAGTGTCTTGTGGCTGAATAAAAATAAATATAAGATGATAGTATTAATTAATGTTAGCCATAACCTTTTATTTTAAAATTTTAATTAACATTAGAATTACAATAAAGACTTAAGACCATAGTATTTAAAGTTTGTTTAATTGATATCACCACCATTTGTATTGAGTGAAGAAATAAAATGATTCTATTTAAGTTATTTTCAAAATTCTTAAATATATACTACATTCTTTTGGAATTCAAGTGAATGTATGAATTATTTCAAATATTATGTAATTAAATTGCATTGATTATATAATAATTTGAAGTATAACTTATTAAATTTGTATTAATTTTTAATATCATTTAATTTTTTTAAATATAAGATCTAATAAAAAATATTTTTATTAGTTCTTTTGTAATTTAATAGGATATATATATATATATATATATATATATATATATATTTTTAAAATATATATATATATTAGTTTTTTTATTATCAATTCTTTTAAAATTCCAAACTTGTTATGAATATATGTTTTATCTAGCCTTTGTTTTACTCTATATTTCTACTTACTTATCATAACATGAATGCCATGTATTTTAACTCAAATAAAATTTAAATTTTGATTATAGGTTGGAATAAGATTATTAGAATATATCTACAAATCAAGTATAAATTTAAAAATTATTTAGATTTATAGGCATAGTTTTAGAATTATAAGTTCTATATATATATATATATATATATTCATAGTATCATTATTAATAAAAGAAGGTTTAATTAGTATTTAAAAAATAAAATATAAATCAAACGTATAATTTTTATTATTTGCTGATAGAGTAAAATTTGAGTATTTATTACTAATTCATTATGTCTTATATTTTAGAATTAGTTAAGAAGATTTTATAGAAAATGCAAATGTCATTATTTTTTTTGGAAGCAAGTGTTTTTTGATATTATAAAGTAATATAATAATTATATATAAAATATTAATTCAATATGAAACATACAAGATAATAGAAATGTTTGAAGAAAATATCAAGTCTATGTTGGAAAATTATAAGTTTTACTAAAAAAATATATATTGAATAAAAACTAATGTGCATATCTATGTAAGAAAATTGAATATGTCTTAAGGATGTTTGACCACATAATCACTTGCAACAATAATGAATAAGAATAAATATTCTATATTAATTAAGTCTTATCTCTAATAATAAATTGAAATTATAAAAGACATAATTTATATAGAACTTATAGATTTTGATGATTTGAAACTATCGTAAAATATGAAAATCCTTTAAAATATAATATGTATAAACAAAGGTTCTTTTGGAGAAGTTTATGAACCAAAAATATTTAGAAGTCAGCTTTTGCTTCAATTTGTCGAATGCATGTTGTTACTCACAAACCTAAGTCCATAGATGATCTTTACCTATGAGAATTGTTGAAGGCTTGGCAATGATGCTAATTTTTTTAATAAATCTTTGGTAGTAGTTTGCCAACTTTAAGTAAGTCTAAAGTTATGAAACATCTTTTAATATCAGGATTTTGTATAAGGCATCTACCTTTGCTTGTTGTATGCCAAGACCTCCTAAGATAATCATGTGACTCAAATATGATAATCATGCAAGGAAGAATTTATACTTTCCATGATGCAAACATAATTTCTATTATTATAATTACTCAAGCACTACTTATAAATGCCTCACATGATCTTATGGGGTGCTAGTAAAAATGATAACATCATCAATCTAGCATCTAGGAAATAACAATTTAGATAAAACTTGGTCCATCATCCATTGAAATTCAATTGGTGCATTTTTAGGAATAAATGAAAGGAACTTCTAGTGATAGAGTTGATTTTTATTATCTTCATCAACTTCCTAAAATATTGTCTTTAGTAATTGGTGATAATCCAATCTTAAATCCAAAATACTAAATACTCAAAAGAATCCTATTGCATCAAATAATTTTATGGTATTGGCATTAAATATTGTTTAAATAGACAATAGTCTCAACACATTTGCTTCTTTGTCCAATTGCCAAAAATATCTTTTTTTGAAGGCATGACTATAGTACAAGCATATTCACCATTGAAAAGTTCAATCAAGCATGTAGCCAATAACTCTTGACAATGAGCTTAGACAATAGCTTTTTTTTAAGATACTAAGCTTGTAAGATTATTGGAAGATTAGATGATCATCTTCTAATTGGATGTGAATAGATTTTCTTTTATAACCTCCAAAATCTTCAAGACTAAATTTATTTTGATTTATTATATCTGTATAAAATAAATATAAGTTCCTTCTATAAAAAGATAGCATTGAAATTAAATCTTTTACTACTTTTCTATCATTTATTTTTATTTTTTTACTACATCATTTTGCTAGGCTCTTCTATAATAACATCCATATTTTTATTTTTTTTATTATATAGTCATATTACTACATGATAACATGCTATAATTTCTTACAATTAAGCTCTGTGATTTGCTATCTATTTTGCCTACTACAACTTGCTCTCCTGGTGACGTTTCGCCTCCATTTGGTGATATAATCTCTCACTATATATAATAATCCGCAACCGTATTGTCTCCATATTACACCCTTATAGCTCAGTCTTGCCTTACTATTTTACACTTCTTAACCGTGATCTATGATTGCCTAGCACCACAATCCCATGCTCCAATCCTATACTCTATAGCCACCTCGCAGCTCCAGTATTGCCAGTACTATATCTTGCTTCCATATTGCAATGTATTTGTAGCCAAGAGCTCTCTACCAAAGACCAAAGACCACAGACAATACCGATAGAGGATTGTATTTCAAGCTGCATATTCTAGTACCTAATACCTCAATTGTACTCTAGTCTCGGATATAATAACAAAACAAAAACATCATAGAAATATCCAAAAAAATAGTATAGAAAAGATTTTATTTATTTATTTATTTATTAATTGTTTTGAATCTACTCCATTCTAATTTGGTATACCACAAATTGAAGAAAAGGAGACATTCTTGTCAAGTAAAAGATTAGAAATCTATATCAAACTAAGTCAAGTTATCTCTTATATCATAAAAAAAGAATCCAAGAGTGCAAGTAAGAAAATAAGAAAAATCCTAAAGCTTTACTAAAATAGCTAAAATACCATAGCCAAGCAAATCCTTACAATAGATTCTTTCACTTTCAAAATCACTCACAAGATTTGACTTCAAAAGTATGTCAAGTCAAGGGTTTTTTTTTTTTTTTTTTTTTTTTTTTTTCCACTTAAGTACTCAAATCCTAATTGATATGAATAAAGTCAATTAATTAAAAAACTATCAATACATGAAAAACTACTAACCAAATTGAATTGTATACATTTGACAAGATTTGGCACCTAAATACCATATCACATAATATTATTTTTAAAAATATCACCAATATTAATAAAAAAAAGTCTTTATTCATTAAATGATATTAATATTAGTATTTATTATATTTTTTAAAAATTAAAAATAAATTAAACAAGCTTATATCTTTCACT